AGTGATGAATGGCAAAGTGGAGCCCCAGGCATGGCTTCCCTCCTGCCCCGGCAGGGCCAGGGCTCTGCTTAAGAGCTCGGTAGTATGTTCATGCTCACATAGAAATTTAATGAGCCTGTTTTACTGTGGGGATGTGTGCCAAGAAAATCCAACTGGGTACACAGGGGGTAAGTGAGGGAGCTAAAGGGGTGGGCATGGGGGGAGAGGAGAGGACAGAGAGCACTACTACATAAATCTAGTCACTTCCCATTTCTGGTCCGGTAGTTGGCCACAATGTGACCTAAAACTGAGCTGACCTCTTTGAAATCCACATCTCCCGTGGAAATGAAACAATAGACATGCTTGTTTTGATGTATGGCTAGGTGACATATTATAAATATTACATCACATAACCACAGAGGATACCAATCAATAAGAAATTTTTTTCGACAGCACTAAATGAACCATGGGTTCTTGCTTCTGAATACACTCCTTTAAGGCTCCTACTATTGCTTAAATGATTAATAGAAGACATATTGTCAGAGAACGTACTTAAAGTGAAAAACAGTAAACTGCAGAAATATCATTCATTCCTTAAGCAATTTCCTAGCAAAAATGTCACATAAATTTACATAGAGACTCTACTATTGGGCTCTAGGTAACAGCTAAAAAGAAGGTAGACCTCACTCACACTCTGTGGATGAAGGGATAGGAAAATATTTTACCCACAGTAGGGAAGGCAGCTGTGCCACTTTGGATAAATGCATATACCTCAGGAACTCTGAACTCAAAAGTCATATTGTGAAACCCTAAAATTTCTCAGGGAAAAATGAAATAGAAACTCCAGCATAAACAAGGCAAAGAGACCAGAGAGCTTCAAGGCCAGAGGGCGGAGCTGTACCCAGCTCATACTTCTCTCTTCCAAATGCAAGGGCAAGTACCTATCGAGTCAACAATAAAAATCAGTTAACAAAAGATTTACGCATGTTAGAGAATAGACCTACCATTTCACTCCACAGAGTAGCACATGCATAGCTGGGTGGGAACACATTTAATATGGTCTCTGCTACTCCTGCTCACTGCTTCCTCTCAGAGCCTGAGGATCCCACAGTTCTGGTGTAGATGACATGGATTTTCTAAGGCAATTGTGACTAGATGTGATTTTAGCTGTGTACGGGCCCTATAATTCAGTCCCTCATGGCACCATTGTCATACATGTATTAACATACAACCTTCTCACCTCCAAACTTCACAACCTTCCAGTGACACAGATCTGGGTTGGGAAGGACATGCTTGGGGATGTTTAGGTGAGCTCATGAGAGGGATTACTTTTTTTTTAAATATCTTATTTATTATTTTTATTTTATGTATATGAGTGTATTGCCTGAATGTATGT